CTGATGCTGAAGTTTCTTCCCTTCCCTGAACCTGATTTGCCATCTACTTTCCGATTGCCACCTCTGAGGTCATTCCTTTTTTTTTTTTCTAATTTTTTAATGTTTTTATTTGTTTTTGAGAGAGAGAGAAAGAGAGAGAGAAAGAACAGAGTGCAAGCAAGGGAGGGGCAGGGGGGGGGGGAGACACAGAATCTGAAACAGGCTTCAGACTGTCAGCACAGAGCCCGATGCGGCGCTCGAACTCATAAACTGTGAGATCATGACCTGAGCTGAAGTCAGATGCTTAACCGACTGCACCACCCAGGTACCCCTAGGTCTAATTCTTAGGACTGCCACCGAGACTGCTACAGTGTTTCCGTGGTGTGCCTTTCTAGAAGACCATGTCTAGCCACTGCATGCAAACCTATGTGAAAAGGCAAAAGCCAAATATAATGAACCTTTGATTAGTAGGTCCATTTATGTTTTGTCATTGGACCCTCTTACAAAGCTCATCACTTTTCTGTGCGGTTATCAACTTCCCAACTCTGGACCGTAATTTCTGCTGTTTTTAAAGTTGTTCTTGAGGGAAATACTCCCACAATTTGCTGAGAAATCAGCTCCTCAAAGTAGAGGCTCTTTACACCCTGATTAAGGGTGGGCCGGCCGCAAGAACAGCTGCTCGCTGTAGCAGTGGGGGCCGGCGAACAGCACCCTGGAGATGCGGCTGTGGCCAGACACCACATCCTGAAGGGAGCAGGGGGCTCAGCAAGCCTTGAACAAACCACAGCTTTGAGTAACAGGTCTGTGCTGCACTCCTCCTAAAGGTAACCACTGGCTTGGGTGTGCACTGAACTGGATAAGAGGCTTCCACCGCCCCCCTTCGGGAGAACTACTTATCTTTTGAACATGATGTTCTAACACAGACTACGTAAGTTAGGCCTACCTTCTCTTCCTGCACATCAGCCTCCTGTTGCTTGAACTCCTGATGCCAGAAAGAGTACTCAAAAAAGGCTAACTAAAGCCAGTTTAGACCCTAACCTAAAATAAGTGTCTGGCTGAAACACAGAGGTTCAGGTATGAGTGAGCTGTCTAGTGTCCTCTGGGTTCTGGCTCTGAGGGGAATTGGTAAGGGACCCTAATCCTGATCCCTCTAATCCATGTGAGTCTGGAAAAGTCTCATGCACCGTTGCTTTATATAGCTCACCATGGGTTGTCAAAATCAATTACCACATGCTTGCCCTCTGAACCATTCTTGCTGAACGACTCTCCACACGAATTCTGGGGTGAAACATTCACTTGATACACGAATATGTCGAAAGCAGGAAACTTAGCACAAGGCAGGGCTTATATTCTGGGGGAACTACTCTAATACCTCAAGAAGTAAATCGTAAGGGTCAGAGCACAACATCTAGAAGATCAGTGTTTGGCAAATGATGTAGGAAGTGATTAGAAGTGCTGGACAAGAGTATTTGCACTTGGAGTACAGAAGCACAACTTTGAAGAGGGATGAATGGGAAAGATGAATGAGAACCAAAGAAAACTCCTGGTGGCCTGAATGAGAAAAGTCCAAGAGGCCACTTTTATAGAGCACTTGTAATCCCTGAAATTTCTGCCTGACAAGTCATGTTTTTGTGAATTTAGTATTCTCTAATATTTATGTTTTCCTACCAATTGCAGTATTTCTTAGAAAAGCAGAAATTTTCAAAGTGCTTATGTTTCCATTAAGGAATTCAAAATCACCTCAATCAAAAAGAATTTATACTGTTATTAATGGCTAAAAATTAGCTTGAAGTCCAAAGTTTGTAAAGACTAAAAAATAGGACTTGATTTCTTCCATAGTCAATTCTGCTACCTTAGAGCCTAGAATAGGAAACCCTGTCTGAACAAAGTTAAAAGTATTCAAAACTGTGGGGTGGCTGGGTGGCTCAGGTGGTTAAGTGTCCAACTCTTGTGTTTTTTTTTTTTTTAATGTTATTTATTTATTTTTGAGAGAGCACAACCGGGGGAGGGGCGGAGACACACACACACACACACACACACACACACACACACACAATCTAAAGCAGGCTCCAGGCTCCAAGCTGTCAGCACAGAACCTGAAGTGGGGCTCAAACCCACGAACCGTGAGATCATGACCTGGGCTGAAGTCAGACGCTTAACCGACTGAGCCACCCAGGCGCCCCAAGGGTCTGACTCTTGATTTCGGCTCAGGTCATGACCTCATGCTTCGTGAGTTCGAACCTGGCGTTGGGCTCCATGCTGACAGTGTGGAGCCTGTTTGGGATTCTCTCTCTGCACCTGTCCTCCCAACCCTCAAAATAAACAAACAAACATAAAAAAATATCTTTAGAAAGTATTCAAAACTTGACCTCAGTTTACTTACCCATAAATAACACCAGGTACAAGTGACCCCCAAGACAGACCAGTAATTCCTGCTTTCTAAGGCAAAGGAGGAGATTGGAGAAAAAAAAAAAAAGTCATGTGCTTTCAAGTTAATTTACTAGTTGTGTCACCTTGGGCATGCTATTTAACATATTATTTACCTCTTTGAGACCCAGTTTCCTCACATATAAAATGGGACCTCTGCCACTCATTGATAGAGCTCTCCTATGTAAACTACTCTGCCCAGTACCTAGCACAGAAATGTTGCTTAGTACATGTTCTCTTTCCTTCTAGTTCCTTTGGCCTTTCAGAACCATTATGATTCATTGTTTTCTCCTTTTGCTAATTTGTAGAGCATTTAAAGTCTGTATCACACATCACATATTAATCTGAATTCTTGGCTTGCTTGTTCAATCACTCTTGAATTTCCACACACCACTAGAAACGAAGTAGGAACTCCAATAAATATTCATTAAATGAAATGCGCTGTTTAATACAGAGCACTAAAAATCAAGACAGGAAGAAATGGCAAAACGTACATCCATCCAGGCATTCTTGCTCAATAAATGATCAGTTGCCTGACAATTATTTTAATAAGTTGACTCTTCCCTGGTCCAACGGTTGACTGACATCCTGTGGTAGCCAGCTTCCAAGATGGCTCCCAATGATCATCACCTCCTGCTAATTACCTCTTCACACTGAATCACTGCTGGCTCTGTGGGACCAACATAATACTGCAGAAGTGACAATGTTGATTTCAGAGATAGATTAAAAAAAAAAAAAGACATTGCATCTATGGTCTTCTTTTCTCCAATCACTTGCTGGGTGTGTGTGTGTGTGTGTGTGTGTGTGTGTGTGTGTGTAAGCCAGCCACCAAGTAGTGAGGACAGATGGCTACGTGACGTCATGCAACTTATGTGACCTTTTCTGAGGTTGTTTTCCTCACCTTTAAATTAAATATATTTCATACTACTTATTTCACAGGGTATTGTGAAGATTGAATACAATATGTAAAACACACACCAGAATGCCTGGCACATAATAAGCTTTCATGCGATGTGGCTAATACTGGTGGTGGTAGTGGAAGCTATAGGAATTGACTGGATGTGAGATGTGAAGGAAAGAGGGGAATCGAGGATGATTCCTAGGTTTTTCGCTTGAATAACTGAGGAGGTGATGGTACCATTTACTGAGTTTGGGGACAATGAAGGAAAGGCTGTGGAGAGCAAGGACATTTTCTTTTTCTTGGACTAAAGGTGCTTAAGCCTCAAAGTGGTAATATTAAAATTCTCTCTCAATTGCTTATAAACACAGCATTCCACTTCCATTCTTTCTTCTCTAAATTACTTCAAACTTTTTTTTGTTGTTCTAAGTAATTCCTTCCTGGAACATGAAAAGTTGTTGAAGTAAAAATGATAGGAATTCCAGAGTCCAAATTACTGTGCAATCAATGGCCATATAATTCTGGATGAGTCACTGTTCGTAATGAAGTGAGGGCAAGCATTACAAAGAACAGCAGCAGGACAAAATCCACTCAGGTAGTTCTCACTTTTGTTTTAGAGAGCACAATTTGCAAACATTAGGGAGGATTTGTGCAATCAACATGAAATAAGATATGCATTGGGGGTTATGAGAAATGGCAAGGTACTTCTATTAATTCTGAGTGAAGATTTACCGATAACTGAAGTGCTCAGGCTTGACGAAATTACATTTCTGTTCCCATTCTCAGACTCCCAGTGGTTTCACTGACACAAGGAAGGGTAAATGTGTGATGCAAGTATGGTGCACACTTAGCTTGCATTTAGTTACTAGTCCACAGACTCATTAATAACCATCTTCTTTATAAAACTGGTTTCACCATTCTTTAAATCATAATAGAACTACTCATTTTATCCAAGGAATATTTGGTCTTCGGATTCTGGCACTTTCCAGGATTCTCCAAATCCATTAAGAAATGCTCCAAACAATGTATACTACTTTGAATCTGAATGGAGGACCACACGGGGCAATTCAAAGTACAATGGAGAGGTTCACTTGGTAACCAAGCTGGGATCCAAACCCCTGGGCGCAGTCTGTACTCACAGTGCACTGCTCCCACCCTCAACTCTTTATCCTTAAAACAAAGGATTTTTCCCAAAGATGATCATGAAGTTCTGTTCTGGTTATATGATAATTTGATTCTAGTAAGCTGCTACAGGTAAGAAAAGTCTGGGTTTTCTTTCCCTTTATTCTTGGTAAAGATGAATTGCAAATGAACCATCTGCAGGAGATTTTACAGACAGGTTTGTACCAGTATTTTCTTGTGTTATTATGAAGCAGTTCCTTCTACCACTGTGATGTATAAAACTAGCTATGGGGGACTAAACCTTTGAACTTAATTAACATCAGCCAAGCATGCTAATAAAGCTACTTGAGGTAAAACTGGTTCACGAAATAATCATAAGGAAGTACAATATATATATTGTCCACCAAACTTCCTCCCACTACAGAAATAGAGAAATGAGGTTTTTTCAGAGGTAGTTGCTACATTTACCATAACTGTTGAATTTCTTCAATACTGTTTAATTTCCTTTTTTCCCCCCTACTATAGTATGTGTCATGCAAGAATCTATTCACACTGACTAGACTTGAAAGATACCGGGTGGTCAGAGAATTTTCAGTCTGGAATTTAGCATCCCTGTCCTGAACAGCAGAGCCTGGGTTGGTGTAAACGACTCATACAGGTAAGACTGATCACTTAACTTCTAGCTTAAAAGTTTACTCTACAAAAACTCTAATAGGACTAAAATGTTTACATTTTGAAAACTGATCATTACGGTCTTTTTACCTCCTTTCTGTTTGGAAGTGTTTGCTAAGTGTGAAATAGAAAAGCAAAGGCAACAGTAATAGATAGCAGCAGACGCCGTATGAGGCGGTTTAGTTTGCAAAAAGGAAATACAGAAGCACTATTACCTTTTTGGATTTTAATATATAGTGCATTATCTGCACATGGCTGGGGGGTAGGGTTCTTTTTTAATATCATTACAAAAGGAAGCTTCATTTCTCACATAAAAATCTACTTGGATCAAATAAGTTTTTCTTAGGAAATAAACTGGGTTATTTCACTTTCTATTTGACTAATTTTTAAATCAGTCAAGTTACAGGTTAGGCTTTACATATTTACAACTGGTAATACACTAACTGCAACCAGATTCTTTTTTTCTGTTTTAATGTTTGTTTATTTTTGAGAGAGAGACAGACAGACACACAGAATAAGAAGCCGGCTCCAGGCCCTGAGCTGTTAACACAGAGCCCAATGTGGGGCTTGAACCCACGAACCATGAGATCATGACCTGAGCTGAACTCAGAAGCTTAATCAACTGAGCCACCCAGACACCCCTGCAACCCAATTCTAATTTGCTAGGCTGTCCTGGACTCAGATATAAACTCACACTGAACCATATGGACTGTTTTCTCAATAAAAATTGCAAAGAAATAAAATGATAGACAGTGGTAGACATTAATTAAGGGTCTCAGTATTGAACCTAGAGACACTGTACAGCCCTCAAGCTTTCAAGCCCTTGCGTGGGGATTGCTTAGCTGAAAAAATTATTTAAAAATTATAATAACGTATTTGGAAGAAAACTCTATTTTTTTTAAAAGATTTCATTTGTAAGTAATCTCTATACCCAATGTGGAGCTCAAACTCACAGTCCCAAGCATCAAAAGTTGCGAGCTCCACCAACCGGGCGCCCAGGTGCCCTCCCTTCCCTATTTCTGTAATCCAAGATGCAAATATTAAAAAGTGTGCCTCTGAAGAGGGGTAGAGAGTGAAATAGCTCTAAGGGGCTGTGGGCATATAAGAAGGTGGTGCATGGCATCTCAGAAGGCAGATGCATGGGAACATTTTTGTGTTTATCAAGACAGGATGTAATTTAAAAAAAGATTGAGAATCCCCACTCTAGATTTTTATAAAAGAGAATGTGGTACCTAGAAAGCTATGGTGATAAAAACAGAAATGTGGTACATTCTGAATATAGCTCATGATTCTTATCTGACCAGAATCCAATAACTTGTTATTCCCACCTGAAAGGAATAAAGGATGAAAATAATAATGAAAAAGAGTTTGTGTGTGACTCTTCAATACTTCGTGTGTACCATTTGATGCAAGAAAGATTTAAAAATAAGACATAGGGGCCCCTGTCTGGCTCAGTTAGAAGAGCGTGTGACTCTTGATCTCAGGGTCATGAGTTTGAGCCCCACGTTGGGTGTAGAGCTTACTAAAAATAAACAAACTTAAAAAAAATTAAAATGAGACATAAAAAAAGCAAAATCCACGCCTGCATTTATGCTATGATTAAATTATCTTCTAAAAAATCATATTCTTTGAAAAACCAAGATACTAAATTATACACAAAGACACATGAGGGCACTCTAACCAACAAGCGTAGCAACTACAGTTTTGACATAGAATTTTAAAGATTTTTTAAAAAATTGAAGTATGGCAGTTTAGCATTAAACATTTAAAATAAGAAATTACCGATGCCTTTTGGTAAAGACCCTGAAATTTTGGTGTCTATCCTTGGTCAACTGTACCTGCCTTCTGTTCAATCCAGGACCTTGTCAGAGTATTTGTGTAGAATTAAGTTTACTTCTTTTTTTTTTTTTAACTTCAAAATTTTTATTTAAATTCTAGTTAGTTAACATTAGTGTAATATTGGTTTCAGGAGTAGAATTCAGTGATTCATCACTTACATACAACACCCAGTGCTCATCATAACAAGTGCCCTCCTTAAAGCCCATCACCCTGGGGTGCCTGGGTGGCTCAGACAATTAAGCATCCTATTCTTGATTTTCGGCTCAGGTCATGATCTCACAGTTCGTGAATTCAAGCCCCACCCACATCAGGCTCCATGCTGATGGTGTGGAGCCTGCTTGGGATCCTCTCTCTCTGCCCCCCACCCCCACCTCACTCATGCTTGTGCTCTCTCTCTCTCTCTCAAAAATAATAAACTTAAAACAAATACCATCACCCATTTGGCCCATCCCCCACACAAGTTTACTTGTGAAATACGAACAGAGAGGATTCCAATAGTATTAGATTATAGATAGGTGCTTTAATCTAGCCATGAAAAGACACCATTTTGAAAAGCATGTACAATTTATGTACAATTAAGGTGATAATTAACAATCATTCTTCTATTAATGTGGCTACAAGATATTTTTTGCAACTTTCCTTTGGCCAGTATGTAGTGCTTGCATGTGCCTTAAAATATTTTAATTACCTTTCTAGGCAGAAGCCAAAGAATGATAAATCTCAGGAATTTAACTATTTGTATCAAATTTTGGTTTTTAGACCAAGGCACTATCCAGAATCACCTCTTTTATTTCCAGTGGACAACTGTGATTAGAAAAGGTGAGAAAGCCTCTGTACTTTCCCTTTCCATCCAGTACATTTACATTACTATTTTATTTCATCCAATGCTTTGGAAAAACTATTCAAATACCATCTATAATTTTAATATTAAATGTCTACAATTCTGTTCTAGCACCTGTGACAAAATTCAAGAAAATTTGCTATAAATGAATAACAACTCAACATGTATTCAACCATCCAGGATCTCTTCCATGGCTCTACCAATCATTTATACCTTCCTCTGCATCATTGGTCTCTTTGGAAATTCTCTCTCTCAATGGGTATTCTTAACAAAAATAGGCAAGAAGACATCGACGCACATCTACCTAGCACATCTTGTGACTGCGAACTTGCTTGTGTGTAGTGCCATGCCTTTCATGGGTATCTATTTCCTGAAAGGTTTTCAATGGGAATATCGATCTGCACGATGCACGGTGGTCAATTTTTTGGGTACTCTATCCATGCACGTGAGTATGTTTGTCAGTGTCTTAATTTTAAGTTGGATTGCCATAAGCCGCTATGCCACCTTAATGAAAAAGGATTCAGTCCAAGAGACCACTTCGTGCTATGAGAGAGTATTTTATGGCCACTTACTGAAAAAATTTCGCCAGCCCAACTTTGCTAGAAAACTGTGTGTTTACATATGGGGAGTTGTACTCGGCATAATTATTCCAGTTATCATATACTACTCAGTTGTAGAGGCTACAAAAGGAGAAGAGAACGTGTGCTATAATCGGCAGACAGAACTAGGCGCCGTGATCTCTCAGACCGCAGGTCTCATTGGAACCACATTTATTGGATTTTCATTTTTAGTCGTACTAACATCATACTACTCTTTTGTCAGCCATCTGAGAAAAATAAGGACCTGCACTTCCATTACGGAGAAAGATTTGACTTACAATTCTGTGAAAAGGCATCTTTTGGTCATCCAGGTTCTGCTAATAGTTTGCTTCCTTCCATATAGCATTTTTAAGCCCATTTTTTATGTTCTGCACCAGAGAGGGAACTGTCAGCAACTGAATTATTTAATCGAAATAAAAAACATCCTCACCTGTCTTGCATCAGCCAGAAGCAGCACAGACCCCATTATATTTCTTTTTTTAGATAAAACGTTCAAAAAGACACTATATAATCTCTTTACAAAATCTGATTCACCACATATACAACCCTATAGTTGACTTCTGACTAGAAAACACCAGCAAATAGAAAAGTGTTTGTGTGGCGATTTAGGGATACTGGACTACATGATTAACAGGTCACAGCTTGATTGAGATAGCAGGCCCTAAGAAACCCTCTTTGGTTTTAGAAATAACCACAAAATTCACTTTCCAGCTCTACTAATACTGCAAGTTGAGATGTCAGAGACTTTCAGAGGCAAAAGTCAAGCATATTGAAAGGATCTCACTGCATATGAAAGCAAGAGACCATTTTCTCTTTCAACTCAACTGTGTATGCTTTTATTCAGAACAAAACATTTCATGACTGTAGGATAAAGCAGCAAATGGTTTATGACTTTTCTCCTTTCTAGTAGTGGCAATATAAGGGCCCATCTGGGCCTAGGGTTTTGTTGGTAACTTTAAAAATGAGTAAAAGAAAAAAAGTCAGTCAGAAATTTCCTCACCAAAGTCCTATCTAGATGTACGAATAGTAGAGTGTAAAAAGCCAAGGCTTTATAAATGCCCTATTTTGTATTGTCTGCTCATGTTACTGTGAGACCAATAATCATCGATTCCAGTATTTATTACGCCAGTGTTTTTATATATTTGGGTTAGGCTTGGTCGAAATAAAAGGCTAATACAATGTCATTATATGCCGATTTTCATCACATCTTGTAAATTTTCCTCTGTATTCAATATAAATAATGTGATTAATGACAAATAGTACCTGGCAAGTAGATATGCTCAATCAATTTTTGTGAAAATAAATGAATGAGTGATAAGGGCAGTATAACAGTATTGTCGTTGAGAGACTGGTCTCTGGAGTTAGAGTCCCTGGGCTTGATGCTAGCTGAACCTCTTCTCTTACTTAGCCAGACAATCCTCAGCAACTTACTTACCCTCTTAAAGTGTTAAGTTCTTCATTTGTAGAATGGAGAAATACTACGTAATTCATAGGTACTATTATTAAATCAGTTGATGTTACTATTACGAGTAGCTGTCATTTACTAAGCATTTGCTATGGGCCAGGCACTCTGCCTCTATGCTTTGCATGTATTTTAGTCATCACCACCATAAAGGATACCAATTTGATGATGAAAAAACTGAAATACACAGATAAGTCACCCCAATTTTCTCCAATGTCTAAATAAATACTTAAACTGTAAGCATTTCTTGGTCATTTCTTTCTTCCGTGTAATCTTGTCAGGAAGATAAGTGATGGTGACTATATCCTGTGCTATGTAATGAAAAAACAATGTTTTTAATGTGTTTTATTTTCCCCAAAAGATTGTACGTGCCTTTCGAGCTGTAGTCTGCTTTCTCTTTCTACTCCCACGGTACTTGCATTGTCTGTTCACATAAAAACCAGACAAAAAGTTAAATGAAACTGAAGTTGAATAAATGTTCATGGTAACCTGTTACTTTGTTAGAGACTGCTTAAAGACCCATTTATTCTCTACCCAGTGATTTCTTCAGTGCTCAAAAAGAAGTTTAAAGTAAGTTCACGTAGCCCTTCCAAGCCTTTAATCTCATAGCATGTTTTTTGTTCCTGAACTACAAATGTGAAACAGTACGCTGTACAGATTCCCCAAGAGCCATGTGTTCAAAGTCACTAGAGGTTTTTCTAACACATCTGCAAAATTTTCATTAAAAAAGAATCAAAAACAAACAGTAAATATTTCCCTTCTTTTTTAGTTCAATGCTTAACTGAGAGAAGAACATGTCCAGAAAAAAGTCTGAAGTAAATGCATGCTGGCTTCAAATATTTATAGTGTACATCTATTCTTTTACAGCAGCAATCTAATTTCCGGCTGATTAATTTGCAGAGACAAAGGCAGACCTGGGAACTCCAGGCGATTTCCCTAAGTGCTGGCTGTAAACAGAGGTGTCCGATCACCGCTATCATTTTTACATAAGTGATACAGCATTAAATCTCACTGCAGTTAGGAGTTTTAAATATATATACATCTCCTCTAAAAATCATTATTAAAAACATCACTTTGGGGCGCCTGGGTGGCTCAGTCGGTTAAGCATCCGGCTTCGGCTCAGGTCATGATCTCATGGTTCGTGAGTTCGAGCCCCGTGCCAGGCTTACAGCTTGGAGTGTTGACCCTGCTTCAGATTCTGTGTCTCCCTCTCTCTTGGCCCCTCCCCCGCTCACACTCTGTCTCACTGTCTCTCAAAAATAAATAAACATAAAAAAATTTTTTTTAAAAATCACTTTACCTTGCCACGACTTAAGTAAAATAAAAAACATATTACCAAGGTAGAGTTTCCTACATTTAAAAAAGGCAGGAAAAGAGGTGTGCAATTTCTCCTTAAGTTACTCATTCTGATAGCAAACTCCCATTTTAGGGGCACTTGGTGGCTCAGGCAGTTCAGTGTCCAGCTTCGGCTCAGGTCATGATCTCACAGTTCATGAGTTCGAGCCCCGTGTCAGGCTCTGTGCTGACAGCTCAGAGCCTGGAGCCTGCTTCGGACTCTGTGTCTCCCTCTGTCTCTGCACCTCCCCTGCTCACACTGTGTGTATCTCTCTCCATCAAAAATAAATGTTTAAAAAAACCTCCCATTTTATTTCTCTGTACTGAGATTACCATGTTTATCTTCAACACCACAGATACTTTCTTGAACAGGTAATTGTACATCATGTTGGATTTTTGTGTGTAATTGGCAAGCTGGCTATTCAATGTCATGGTTAATATTTTATATGAAATACTACTTTCTAAATTACTCTACCTTTAAAGTGTGCATTTCAGAAAAACAGTGCTCTAAAAATTTGTATTATTATAGCTGATATAGGATATCATGTTATATGTTAGGTTTTATTAGTTTCAGGTGCACAGCATAGTTATTTGATGATTCTGTACATCACTCAATGCTCATCACAATAAGTGTAGCTACCATCTGTCCCCATACAATGTTATTACAATGTTATTGACTATATCCCCTTTTCACCTCCATGACTAATTTATTTTGTAACTGGAAGTTCGTACTTCTTAACCCCCTTCACCTATTTCGCCCATCCCCTCATTCCCCTGCTGTCTGGAAACCACTGGTTTGAGAAAAACAATGTTTTTAGCATGTGAGTTAGTCAAACACAATTTCAGAAGCCCCAAATTTTGACTTCTTGGCCAGTGAGATTATACCTTAACTATAGAAGACAGGATTGACAAATGTCTATTTTCCCTTTTATCCTTTCCATATACTCACTCTTGTTGAGGCAGCTTCCAAACCATTAATTGGGAACACAAACCATTAAGACTAGACAAAGCAACCTTAAGGACAAACTTTTCAACCTGGAAGAATTTCTACTTCCTGGGTAGAAGAGGAAGACGTCAATCTCCCATATTTGCTAAGGACTCTTCACAGCCTACCCCTGGCCTTGCAGTCTGCAGGGTGGAGGTTGTTAGAGACAAACGTGGGAAGACCAGCTGAAAGGAAATCTGGCTGTGGCAAACCACAAAGACACCATGGAGGGATACTGGTAATCTGGTAAGCATTTCAACCATGGACCTTCCTCTGACTGCCCCCAAGTTCCAACTGAATTGATATTAGTGGGAAGACTTACTACAACTAGAAAGGTGTTGTACCTGACAGAAAAAAAATGCTTGGTCTTATCATACATGCTTGCTGGCCTGGCTCGGAAAGAGGGGAGCAGTGAAAGAATTCACATCTAGTAAGCAAGAGAAACAGTCATTCTTTTCCTTTTTATCTTTTTTGTTTTTAAAGTAAGTTCTACTTCCAACATGCGGCTTGCACCCACAATCCCAAGATCAAGAGTTGCATGCTCTACCGACTAAGCCAGCTGGGCTCCCCTCATCCTTTTCTTTCTAAATCAAGGAGTTCATTTTTTTTTTTTTTGGAAGGGTGGGGTGGGAGAAGGGAAGCACAGCAATTAGAAACAGGACATAAATTTAAGATGATCTTATAATTCATGGGATTTTTCTAAGTACAATTATTAAAATCCTACATTCAAGCTGAACATGTCCATTATGTTCAACAACCTCACAAAAGACATGCAGAAGAGGAATCAGTGTGTTTCTTATAATAGAGATTAAAATAAATGTGTTCTCATTTTAATGAGAATTTCAATTTCTTTCTCCAACATGAGGTGGAGTAAGAGACGTGGAAGAAGTGTCAGCAACCCAAAGTCACAGAGGAAGAAATACTGTATGAACTCCATGATGCCATGGGAACTAGTGTGATGTGATAAACACCTGTTTATAAAGTCTGGTCCTACGCAGGTGAAAGGGGAACTGAGAACAGAAGGGGACCAGAGAGCAGCCAGGCGTGTTCACCAGTTAGGAGGAAAACCATTTCAAGGAAGCTCATGCAGAAGCGCTTGGGTGGAGGCTTCTGGCTGAGTGTCTAGGACTGTCTGCCCATGGGGTTTTGCACACTTCTGAGAACTAAACACTGAGCCCCCAAACCTCCTGGGCAGAGGCCCCATTCAGAATAGAAAGTGACTGTGTGTATGGCCATTTGCATTTCGAGAAGCAGTGTAACTTCAGTTATTAAAATTGTACATCAGTAGGGCAGAGCCACAGAAAAGTCTAAGAATTGCTTTGTCTCTCCACGCCCAGGTGATGCAGGGTAAGGCTGCCTCCAGGAGTTAGGAGAGACAAGAAAGACCCGAGGACTCTTAATGCTTAAGAGAACTAATGAAGGCAGGCAAGGGGCCAGGACTTGCATTTACCTTGCCAACTGTACTGTTTCTTCTTAGAGTTCTTTTAATTTAGGGGTGAGAGGAAGAAAAGAGAAAGAAATGAAACATAATGAAAGTTTTCACATCCTCTCACAAGAAACAGAGGAATAAAAGGGAAGAGGACAGAAAAACAAAACCTCCCCCCCCCCCCCCCCCAACCCCTGAAAAAAAAAAAAAAAAAAAAAAAGAAATGAGCATGCATGCCTTAATTAATGCCTGTAGGGAGGTAAAGCAGGATAGTGTAGTATTATACAGTGGGTCTTAACCACAGGGATCTTTGTGCCCCAGGGGACCTTGAGCAATATCTGGAGACATTTTTGATTGTCACAGCTTGGGGAAATGCTATTGGCATGCAATGAGTAGAGGCTAGGTAGAGGCAGTAATACAAAGGACAGCCTCCCACAACAAAATACAGGGCTCAAAATGCCACTAGTGTGGCTGGTGGGAGAAACCTGTGCTATGATGACACACTTCGCTCAATTTCAAAGGATGACACAATTATTTCTTATGCAATTTCATATGAAACTGCTTCTCCAAAGCAAGTTCCCACTACAGGTCACGAGGTACCACATAGTCAAATCTAACTTTGATATAAACCAAACATTTTTAGACTCAATTACCATGAGTTCAAAGAAATGCCTACCAAGTTAAGAAAAAAGTAATACTAATAGATATAGTGCTAGGATCTTTGGAAAAAACCTAATGCTTTGGGATCAATGCCAAGAATTACTATACTACTACTATATAGTTGACTTATTTGCACTCATTGGTTAGTGTCGGTCTCCCTGAACTAGAAAGTCAGCTTGCTCCATGGAGGCAGTGATTCTATTTTGTTCACTGGTGTAGCTCTGGTTCCTAGAATAGTGCCTGACACAATAAGCACTCAGTGCATATTTTGGGATGAATGTCTTAAGAAAAATCTATCCAAATTCAACATTA